TCTGCCCCAGCTCTCTCCTCTTCCTCGGAACGGGGGCAGCGGGTGGCTCACGGGGAGCTGGGCCCCCACCACTGGGGGTGTAGCCGTTTGGCTGCCCGTAGGTGACGGTGCCCGAGGTGTGGGATAAGCTGGAGGGGCCCAGCTTGTGTTCTGGGGTTCCCCCCTACCACAGCCGGGCTTTGTCCCAAAGCTTGGGGCCAAAGTCCTGGGAGTTTTCGTGTCTGCAGTGTAAACACAGCTGGGCTGGCTGGGGCTGTGACCCCCCGATAAGGATCTCTGCCTCCTGTGCCATGGAGTGATGCTCACCACGGAGAGATGCTCAGATCCTCCTCGCCCCACAACACCGTGGCTGCTGCTGGAGTGGGGCAAATTCCCCACCCGTGGCACTCCCCATCATCCAAACCACCTCGCACGGGGGGGTTTGAGGGGGCTGGTGGGGCAGCATTGTTGGGGACCAGGCAGGATTGGTGCCTGACCCAGGGTTGGTGGCCAACTCTGAGGTGCCAAGGTAGAGCCAGGTGCATCCTGCATTGTGGTGGCAACTGTTTTGGACATTTGGCTTCTGCTTGGGCCATGCTCAGCACCCTCCTGGTGATGCTCAGCACTGGGGGAAAGCCAAGCTGGGGTTGGGGACCAGGGTCTGGCCATTGTGCTGAGCGTGGCAGGATGTCTGCCAGTGGGAGATGGTGGTGGGACTGCCCAGGCCAGCCCCAGATGGGCAGAGGTTGCTGTGAGGCTGTCACATCCTTCTTGTCATTGGGGACCTCACAGCTCATGGTTTGGCTCTTTATTTGCAGGGAGAGAGCAAAGGTTTCTGACGATGCCATCTGGCCACCCTGGTCCCCATCCCAGGAGGCAAGTGGGTCGTGGGGTCTGTCCCACCCAGAGCTGAGCTCCTAGACACAGAAGAGGTGGGGGGAAAGCAGCAGAAAAAGGGCCCTCAAGGGTTGTTCCTGAGCTCTGCTGCGTTCCCACTTCCCTCATGTGCCCATGGACGTACTGCAATGTCCACTGAAACAAAATCACTCCTAAACTGTGACAACTCCATTTCTCCCCTCCCTGCTTCTCTGTGGGGTGTTGGCACGTGGGTCCCGGTGAGCTGTGGGGTGGGAGAAGGGAACTGACCGTGCCTGGTGCGGGAGGGACGGGTGAGCAGAGCCCACGTGACGGGAACTGGCCCGGGCCATGAATGGGGGAGATGCTCCATTCATAAAGGCAGAGTCCTGCTGCAGCCGCGCAGGCCTTGGCGCCAGCTCTGCTGGGAATCCCCAGCCCGCTGGAGCTGCTCCTCCCTCTGCCAGCAAATCCCCCTTAACTCTTTGCTCATGCTCGTTAGGGCTCCGCTAACGAAGCTGGGAGAAGGCCCTGCTCGAATGGCTGCCCGGGATGCCGTGGTGCCCTGGCAGAGCAGGCAGTGGTGCTGGCACAGGGGGGGCAAGAGATGTTGGCTGCATTGCCCCAGCTTGGGCCCTTCTGATTGTGTTCTGCTCTAATGGACAGAGCTCAGGAAAGCAGAGTGGACTTTTCCACCATCCCACACCCCCCCTTCCCCAGCCTGGGTCTTTCTGAACTCCCGAGTCTGATACGGTGCTGACCAATGTGGTGATCCTGGGAGGGAGGGGAGGTGCTCCCAGCAGCGACCATCCAGGCCAAATGGCTGCTTAATTAATTATTGGAGGCAATCAAAGGGCTTGAATGGAGGTGAGCTGCAGTGAGGGGGCTGGCCAGGACCCTGAGCTGGCAGTGCCAGCTCCCAGCCTTGCTGTGTGTGCTGGAGGTGCAGCCCATGTCCTGCTGCTCCACGGGGAGATGAGCAGGAGTGCACACCCCTATGCAAAGTCTTGAGATCCTTTTGTCTTTTTAAAATGATGGGTTTGGATCTCCCCACGAGCATCCCCACTGCTGAAATTCAGGTCGGAGCTGGCTCTGCCAGCCTTTGCTTGCCAAACCAGTGAGCCCTACTCAACCCAGTGTCTCAGCTTACTGAAGGCTCTGTGTTATCAAAGGGGTCTCTAGAGATTTTAGGGAAATAGAGGTACCTGGCTGAGCCTGGGGGCTCACAAGGGGTAGGCACGGGGGGGACTGTTGGCAGCTTTTGTGTCACAGGAGATGTTTGCCAGGTTGTGAATTGTTTTGTGCCCGGTGGACACCCTGGCTCCATGCTGACCCCTTGTCCTTTCTCTGTGCCACTCCCAGAGCAAGCTCCACATGGAGGGTTTCCGCAGCCTGAAGGAGGGTGAAGCTGTCGAGTTCACCTTCAAGAAGTCATCTAAAGGTTTGGAATCCATCCGAGTGACCGGCCCGGGCGGCGTCTTCTGCATCGGCAGCGACAGGAGACCCAAAGGCAAGAGCCTCCAGAAGCGCAGGTCGAAAGGAGACCGGTAAGAGGGGGACAGGGTCTGATCCAGGGCTGGCTCTGAGCTCTGTGGGCACCAGGAGCTGCCCAGCACCGTGCCCACAGCTTGGGGACAGGCTCGGGTCTGGCGGGGTGGGCAGTGACCCTTCCTCTGGGAAAGTGGCTTCCTTCGGCGGTTAATGAGTGGCAGATGCAGCTTGGTGGGGAAAGGGCAGCGAACCAGCGGCGAGAGGGCAGAGGTCAGGGACACCCCGGGCGGCCGCTCCCCTTGTCTGGGGGAGCTGTGCTGGGCAGGGGTAATTTTCTTGAAGAGAAACCCTTCCTTGTGAGAAGGAAATGGCCGGACGTCCTGGCAGCATCTCCCATGGTGTGGCTGGGGGCCCCCGGGCGA